CCTGTGCATTATGCTGTCCCAACTCACTTGCCACTGTGTAGTGTACTCCAGTGAATGTCTGTGTTTTTATGCCTTCTTCCTTTCAGTAGAGTATAATCTCCAGGAGAGAATGTTCCTGCTCCTGGTGTGCAGAATAAGCCCTGTAATATAGCAGTTAGTATTTGCACAGGTAGTGGTTATCAATTTGACAACACTTATGGCTCTCATGTTGATGGCTGAAGGGGCTTTCGTAGATCAGATCATATTAAAAGTAAAGTTCCTGACTGGGTATGATGGGTGCTTGAAAGTCTAGCACTGAGGAGGCAGAAGAAAGGTGACTACTATAAGTTAGAGGTGAGCCTAGGCCACAGAGTGAAAGATCTGTCTAAAGAGAAAAAAAAGAAAAGAAACAAAAACGAACCGAATAGGGAAGGTTGAGTTTGTTTATGGTTATTTTGGTGGTACTTGTTTGCATGTCCCTGTATGACATTCTCTGGTATCCTTTGTAACTAATGAATTATCTGTGCTAAATTTTGAACTCAGAGAATGTGATCTTCTTGTTGACATTTTGAATTTTTCTGATTCTTTGGTGTTTCTGAAAACCACAAAAACTAATTTAAAAATGGTTGAAGAGATTGCTGTTTTATTTTGTCTACATTATAGCAAAACCACTTATTCTTTTGTCTTTCCCACTTTTACCCCCCACCCCCAATTTGGGTTGCCATTCATGGAGAGAAGCCATAATAGAGAACATTTCAGAAGGAATGATACTTAGTAAAGTGCTACTATTGAGATACAATCAGATCTTTATTTTTTGAAGGAGTCAACATGGTAATCTGTCCCATTAGCCACTAGAGGCTAAAATACCCCCATATGCTCCCAATACCCAGGGAATGTCTGAATCTGTATACAGTATTAAATAACATATGCACTAATTCTTTCCTATATATGCATACATGTGATAAAAATTAATTCTTAAGTCAGACACAGTAAAAGATGATCAGCAATAGCTTATGATCAAGCAGAAGAGTTATGACAAAATATTTTTGTATAAGTTATACTAATGCGATCATTCTAATCAAAAAAATAGCTTTTTCACTGGAAGTACTACACAGACCTTCTTGGGCATCTTTCAAATTGTCCTGTATCAGTGTGACCTCACTTTAACACCATTACTAAGTAGTATAAAAGCTTAGGGAATACAGGTACTGCACAGCCATGATGTTTTACTTGTTACCTGAGATGGGTACTTCATGCCTTGTGGAAGAACATTTCATACAAATGGCTTGTATACACTGGGATAGGATTGTGTCTGAAGTAGAACAGGGTGGGTGGGATGGCTTAAGGCTTTAGCACACTACTAAGAATGGCATGTAATTTAAAGCTTATGAATTGTTTATTTCTAGAATTTCACACATTTTTTTTAAACTGTAGTTCACTGGCTCAGCTACAATAGCACCTAGCTTGTCTCAAACCATTTATCAAAATTATTTGGTTTGGAAATTGTCAAAGCATGTTTCCCTCATCTAAGGATGCACATATTGCACAGCCTAAGACTAATGACTCTTACAATCTGTTTTATTCTGTTTGCATTATCTGTTCAGTGCTTCTCTCTGTTTAGAACTGGATGTTCCTGTTAATTCTTGTTTTTTTTTTAATGAATGATTTGTTTGTTGATAATTTCATATATATTGTCAACAAACAAATTTCATGAATAAAAAGAATTCACACATACATTGCACTCTCTATACCCTCACTCCCTGCTCCTTTTTAGTTTCCTCCCACCCCTGTTACTACACCCTCCTCCTAAAAGTTCCCTTTCCAGATCCATGTCTTCACTGTGTTGTTTTATGACACACTGATTTTAGTCATGACAATCTGTGTGTCCATGTGTATCCAAACATCCACTGGAGCCTGGTGGACTAACAGTTTTGTGTACAACTGAAGATGACTGTCTCTCTCCCAGAATCTAACAGTTTTCAAGAGTTCAGCAGTCAAGGGTAGGGCTCCATGAGCCCTTCCTCAGTCTATTGACAGTCTTGTTCGGACCCAGTTCAGGTAACTGCAGGTGTAATGAAATCACATTTGCAATGGCTGTCTTGTGTAGAAGATAGCATTTCAAATCTCTTACACCCCTACTCCCTGCTTTTTGCCTCTTAAATTCTTATCATTTTTCTGAAATGTTCTTTGAGCTTTATGAAACTGATGGCTACTCCATATTAAGGAATGCATGCCTGGTAATGTAAAACTGGTCCAAACCCCATGTCTTGGAAGGTCATATACCCTCACTATAGTTGTATAGTTAAATAGCCTTGGCACTAAGCTATAGTCTTATATATATATATATATATATATATATATATATATATCCATAGAAACTACTTTTTATGATTAAAGAAACTTGTCTTTGCAGTGAATGGTAGTGATGTGGAAACACATGAATCCTCAAGGTGCTTAGAATAAATAACAGATTAGTTCTCAGCCCCAAAGAGGACATTCATCTCTTATTCTTTATTTCCCATTACTATTTGAAGACTCGGGAGCTAAATAATCCTAGAGATAGATATATTTGTTTCAGCACTGCTCTAATATTGCAAAAGATGCAATTGCCAATTGTAAATTAATTGCTGAGAAACTAAGATGTATGCTAACTGTGACCTAAAAGCCACAAAGCTTTGGTTTACTTCATTACATTATATTTACATTTGAAACTATTTTATGAATATTCAGAGAAGCAACCATCCTTTACCTTACTTGGCAGAAACATTTTGTGTGAAACCAACATTCACAAGTAATAACCACAGTAAGGTGGAAACGCTTACCAAAATAATAGCACATTTCTCTAGTGTAGGCTGGACCTGTTGCTGAAGATGTCACACTGGAGGAGTTGTTGCTTGTTGACATTGAAGATTCTGAAATGCTTTTGATGTATAACAGCACTGGGGTGTTTGAAAAGTACTTCATCCAGATAGATGATCTTTGATAGAACTCTTTTTAGTACTTCATCAGTTGAGTGCAAACGGTGATAATTTAGGAATTAAGATTTATTGTGAAGTAATTTTTCATCCTTAATTCAATATGAAAGTATCTCATAAGGAGACTTACTGTAATCCACAGTGAAGTTGTGCATTCTCTAATAGGGAGTCCTATATCTGATGGTTTGGCTCTGGTTACCCTTTCTATGGAAAATTTTGCTACTTGAGATTCAGTCTGTTTTATTTTTTCTTTGTTCCTAATAATCCATCCCCTGTTTGGTTTGAGAGCTATAACAATAGTTTGACTCCTGGTTTGTGCATTTTTTTTCTCATTGTACATTTAACATTTATCTACATCTATGGGTCTTTTCTTGTAGAGGTTGTCTCTGCTCACATGTTTTTGTTAGTCTGCTGAGGTGTGCCAGTGTCCTGAAAATGAACAGTGTTCTGTGAACTAGATTGTCCTGCCATCTTTCATGGTCACTTTATAACATCAAATTCCTTTTTATTCAGGGCTGCTTATTTTGGGGTTAATATCCATGAAAAAAATATGTCTTACTCTTTTTAATACACTGACACTTTGAATGTTCATGTATTTTTCCTTTTATTACACTTGATCTCTTTGTTCCTATTCCTGAACTTCATGTTCCCAGGTTGGCCTACCAGTCATAAACATAGGCATCTCAATTCTGTCTCCTCCTTGCTAATTATCCTGAAGTGCTTTTCTTTTGTTTCTATAATTGAAAGCAGCTAGTGGCTGTCTATATTTCTCATCATTTCCTTGTGAGTTCAGAAGTCTCAATATGCTCCTTTTGAACCAATGTTTGTTCCTGGTACTTTTTTCTTGTGTTGTCCTTGCTCTGAATCTTGCTCTGCCCTTCAGGCTTCAGTTTGGTTTTTCACATTGTTCCTCATTCTCAAGATCTATCACATGTCCCTCCTTTTTATGGTGCCAAATGCAGTTGTGTAGGAGTTGAAATAATTTTTATTATAATTTTAGTACTACCTTTCTCAGTGACCTTCAGCAAATCACTTACCTCAGTTGAATGGACTCATATATTATTTGATACCATTTGTATGACATTTATTCTAGTCTGTGCTCCATTATCTGTTCAAATCTAACTTGACTTATTGTCTTGATTGCTCTTTGGAGACTATATCACATTTCTATGTCCCCAATATAGTATGTGGTACATAATTGAAGGTCACTTGGCTTGTATGGAGGGAGTGTGAAGACCATGTTTTACTTTTCCAGCTGAGTTATAAAGCATTATTTTCTGACTATTTCCCTATTTCTTCCACCGGTTGAGTACTGATGCTGTTTTCTTCTGTACTCATTATTTTAATGTATCTCTGACAAAGTAACCTGACAGACAACTTAAGGTAAAAAGAGTTATATTGGCTCATGGTTTCAGAGAACACAGTACTTGGCAACTGAGCCTCTGGTCCTTGGGAAGATCTGGCTAGAAGAGTATGTAAAATAGAAGTTTCTTTACCTACTTCCAGAGAAAAAGCTGAGAGGAATAAATGCACTTTTCCATGGGTATAGCCTTCAAAAGCAGTTCTCTTTTGTATAGCTACTTCTTCCAGCTCTGACCCTCTACTCACTTTCCATAACTTCCCAAAATAGTACCACCAACTGCAGGGCCACAAGCTCAAAACAGAACCCTAATAGAAATATTTCATTGCAAAACGATGGCAAAGAGAAAACCCAATCTCCTTAATCATCTAAAAGTGTTTCTCAGACATGGATAAGGTTGTAAGTCTCCTGGAGTTCTTTGAAAAAATGCTGAGCCTTTTGGGGTTGGAATAGAGCCAGAGATGTGGTATTTCTTGTATGATCCTAGAAGAAACTCATTGTGCTGGCTCCAGAGCATCTACGTAGTCTTTTGGTTCTGTTAAATTTGAACTCTTGCCTCTGCTGACAATGGAATTTAGGCTGTGGTTGTGGTAAAGAATTTGTATGTTACTTACTTTAAAACAAGAGGATCTCATGTTGATGCTTCTATGTCCAGATGTCTTATATGTTTTCTCCTCTAATTTCAGAAGAGAGAAATGATTGGGTCAGCATATTATTAAGTGCACTGAAGTCACCATCCCTTACTTCACAGTTGCAAGCAGCTACAGCACCCGAGAAATGTGGATATCTTGAATTGAGAGGCTACAAATCCAAAATCTTTACTGTTTTAAAGGGAAACAGTGTGTGGCTTTGCAAAAATGAGCAGGTGAGCTTTGTTACATTAATTGTAATTACTGTTCTTTGGTGATAGCCACTGTGTTTAGCTTTTGAGAGCTACTTGAGGTTTTATTTATAGTCTTGCTGTTGCTTTAAATACTCCACTAACAATAACAAAGAAAATCTGATTGAATGCTTTGTTTCAGAAAAGTGTTTCCATCAGACCAGAGGTTGCATGCCACCTTTTTTAAAAATTTTGTAATTAATTTATTTTTACATATCAGCCATGGATTCCCCTGTCCTCCCTCCTACCACCACTCCCCCTCCCTCCAATCCACCCCCCATTCCCATCTTCTCCAGGGCAAGGACTCCCCTGGGGATTTTTTAATGGACTGAGGAAGCAGCATTGTTGGAAAGAATTGTTGAAATGTATACCTCAGTTGAAGGAAATATAGCTGTCAGAGAATAATTGAGAATATGTACAGATATTGTTGAATGGGACTAATTCTGTATCTTTGTGATAGAAAATTAGAAGACACTAACAAGTAACCAGGTGTATTAGTTACTTTTCTGTTGACATAAAAACACCAGGAGCAAGGCAACCTATGGAAGAGGGAATTAATTTTATCTTAAGTTTCTTGAATAAATAAGAATCTTTAGCAGGAATCCTAATTGGTCTTAATAATAAAAACCCAGAGCCAGATATTGGGGTAAATGCTGAAAATTCAGAGAGACAAAGGAGCAAGCCGCGGCTTCCTCTTGCCTCACTAACTCCTCAGCCTGAAAGAGGTGAGCTCCTGTGTCCTCCCACCTTATATTCCTCTCTCTGCCCAGGCATATCACTTCCTGTCTCTATCTCCCAAGTGCTAGGATTAAAGGTGTGTGCCACCACTACCTGGGTCCTCTGGTTAACTAGTGGCTAGCCCCATACTCTGATCTGCAGGCAAGCATTATTTGTTAGAGCACAAACAAAATATCACCACATGAATCCATCATGGCAGGGAGCCATAGCAGTGAGAATAGGAAGCTGAGAGCACACATCTTGAATCATAACCATAAGCACCAATCAGAGAGAATGAATTAAAAGTTACAAGGATGAAAGGTCTCAAAACCCCAACCACAATGACATACTTCCTTCGTAAATGCCACACCTCCTACACCTCTCCCAAGCAATGCTGCTAACTGAAGACCAAATATTCAAGAATCTGAGCCCGTGGGGGACATATTTCTTTGAGTCCACCACACCAGATTTTATTGTCTTTATTTTTCTTTGAACAGATATTCTATTTGTCATGAAACTGCTTTGGTAGTAGAGCCACATTAAAAGAGGTGGGTATAGAGATGTATAGGTATATATATATTTACAACCATATAGATACAAACATCTACCTATATACCCATGTCACCTATACATAAGTATATGGGCTTTAACAGTTAGGTTATTGAATTTGGTTAATAGGAAAACACTAAAGAGATAGTTTAAAATTTTTGTGGAGGCTTGTGGATAATTAAACTGTTTTTTTAAATGTCTTGTAAGCTTTACACTTGATTTTGTAGTTACGGACTTACTTTTATCTACTATTTCAGACTTTTATATATAAAAGAAAATTTTTCCTCCTTAGGTGACTAATTCTTATTTGAGGGTGGAAGAGTGTATTTTGAATGTCTAATCTAACATGAATTCATTTTATAATGGACTGTAATAAGATATAGACATGGACTCTTTTCCCATCAAAGACAGTCATCAACTCAAAACAAGCAATAGTTACAAACTGAAACTATACCACTTAGGCGAGGTACTCTCAAACTTCAGTATGAATGTATTCATTATTATTTTTTGTGGGAGGATACCTTACCCAATTATTTGTAGAAGACATCATTGAGTAACACGGGCAAACTACTAATGTAAATGTTTAGCATATTCCTAAAAAGTAGTGACATACAGCTTAACAATGTATATGAAGTCTCTGAAGTTAGGTGATTAAGACTTTTCTCATTGGAATTCATGCTAAAAATTCATAATTTGCATGTATCTGCATTGCAGTTACTCTGCCAAATTCAGGAATTCATTTTTTACTTGCACAGACCCAATACAATTCCTATTATTTGTTTCATTGTTCACATTAGCAAGATTATCTGAGTTTGTATTATTTTTCTAGCAGTAATATGGTTTTTGAGTTTTATTAACCCTTTGGGAGAAATACTTTTTTTTAAATATGAAATCATTGTTTTAGTAACAGTATTTGAAAACAAAAATCTAAAAATGCTTGCCACTGGTTGAGTGCCAGGTACTATGCTAATTAATTTATAAATACTCATTTTTAATCTCTCCTATAATTATAGGAAGAAGATTCTCTCATCTGTGAGTTAAAGATGAGTAAAATGAGGTTTACATAGTTTGTACAGGGCTAAGAGATTCATCATGCCAAGCTTAATTTAAAACTAGAATTTTTTAACACTATGCTTGTCTTCTTACTAAAGGCTTAGTTAGTATCTTTTCTGAGTTCTTGTCTTTTGGAAATAGGCAAGAATTAGTTTTGTGACTAATTTCATTGCCTAGGGGTTTCAGGGCATGTACTCAGTTAATGTTGTATCAGGCTGTGCACTCTCAAAGGTGTGTGCTTATCTAGCAGGGCAGTTTTGTTTGCAAGGGTGAAATGCCAGTCAAGAGCAATTACAGGTAATAAGCTCAGTGCTTTTGCTGCCTGATTATTTGTTTGCTTTGCTTTTTTTGAGATAGCATCTCTTGTAGCCGATGATCTTGAACTCTTGGTCCTCCTGCTTCTACCTCCCAAGTGTTGAAATTACAGTCCTGTGCCACTGTATCTGTCTCAATGCTGTATTCAATGCTGTATTCCATGGGTAGGCATATGGACAGGTCCATAACACAGGGCATCCAATAAATTGGTGAACTATAAATACTTCCATTTACACAAGTAATGACTAAATTATTATTATTACTTTTTAAAAGCAGTAAAGCTGGAGTACACATCATCTTTAGATAAGTAAATGTATTTTTAATGTACGTTTATTCAGTTTTTTCCTCCTATATATTCAGGTGCTTATACTTTATCTTTAAAGATATAATTTAGAGTATGTATGCGTGCGTGTGTGTGTGTGTGTGTGTGTGTGTGTGTGTGTGTGTGTGTGTGAGTATGCATGCACGTGTATGAGTGTGTGATGTTTGCATCATATTATATAGAATCAACTTGACTAGTAGTTAAGTGGAGCGAGCCATACATGTTTTGGTCCCAATAGTGCCATTCCAGCTCTTGATGCCTTTCCATTTGGTGAGTTCCTTATTCTCCCAAGGAAAGCTGTTTAATGCTGATCTCATAGGGAAGCAGGTGATGGGAAGAATCTTGTGACCTGCTGAGATAGGATAATCTTTTTTCTCAACACAAAGGGCTTCACCCAAGTGAGGGCATTGGCCTGTTTTAGGAAAGCACTGAATGATGGGGATATATTTTAATGTAAAATCTAAACATTTGAGCCAGGTGGTGGTAACACATACCTTTAGTCTCAGCACTTGGGAGGCAGAGGCAAGAAGATCTCTGAGTTCGAGGTCAACCTGGTCTACAGAGCAGGTTCTAGGACAGTCAGGGCTACACAGAGAAATGCTGTCTCGAAAAACAAAAACCAAAAACAAAAACAAAAACAAACAAAAAAAACCTATAAGTTTGATACTTTCATACACACACTTGCATGTGCACACAAACACACATACACACACACACCACAAATTTTCAAAAGTTATACAACAAACATACTCATTTAAAAGTATGAGATTTTTATATTTGAACTTTTATATCACAATTTTTGTTGGATCTATATAATAGCTATATATCAAAACATAATTGTTTTTATTATTTATAAGCAGTGAATTCATTGCACATGCAATCTCATAGCATATTTCTTAAAAAAGAAGTCAATGTATATCATCACTCTAACCCAAGAATTATCTTCTACTTTCTATCCAACAATAAATACATAGTTTCACTAATTTGTTGATTATTCCAGTGAGAGTAAACACAATGGATAGAGGTGAGGGTTGGCCATTATAGAGAAATCGCATTTATCCTAACCACATGTGATGGGCCTGGGAGGTTGCAACATGGGGTTTTTATTTCTGTTCTGCTGTAACTAACCATCTCTGGTAATGCAGTGATTCCCTTTAACTGTCACCATCATGCAGGGAGGAAGATCGCTGTCTCCAAGGCAGTCATTACTTTGTTGAAGTTTCAGATTTTTGTGCCTATTCCAGATGAGATGACTTACCCTTTGGGATGTGTGTTGGATAAGCATTCATGAAAGTACCACATTTGGTTCAGTAGTATGTGAATCCCAAACCACACCCTATGAAATGCTGCTCAGATTTTTTTCTTCTTTCTTTTCTTCCAAAGTGATAGGCATCCAGTGAAAGGGGGAATGGAAATCCTGGAAAATGTGTAAAACTTCCTTCACCCATGTGCCTTTCATTCACTTTATTCACCACTGGATGGTATCTTTATTATTATTATTATTAAACTTATTTTAAAATAACCTTTGCTCAGTTGAACATTTTGAACAGTGATACAGTGATGTAGGAATCAACAAACATTTAGTAAAAATTAAGAAAATCATTATTGTAGTATAGTTCCAGAATTTGAAGGATTCTTCATAGCACATTGAACATAATTCTGAAAGAGTCTGCAGCCTACGCTTTGTTATTACCGCAGCCTTTCTGAAGTGTCAGTAATTTGTGTAAGGGTTTAAAATGTTCAGCCTTTCTTGAAATTTTGCCTTACCACATTCTTTTCACTTAATACAGAATTGTATTAGCAGAGTGACTTCTTCCAAGGGTTTAAAAAATTTTCAGTTGCATCATTAGAATTTAGAAAACGGGAAAGCCATTCAAGATTGTTTTCATTTGCTTGATCCCATGGGTTTCTTTCACTGTGTATGACCAGAAGTTACTCTCCTTTGAAGATTGTTGTTTCCAGAGCTTTCCTTCCAGTCCCCAAAGATGCTCTCACAGTGCCAGCCTGCCTGCAGGCACATCATCGGCAA